CCCTCCCCCCAGACCGATCCCTCTGCAACATCTTCAGCAACATTTACAGCAAAATAAATTGGAAACGTAGCGGTCACATCTGTCCCCACTTCCACATCATTCAGCAAGGTCTCACTGAGGTCCCAGGTTTATTGCTTAGCTGTTGCATCAGGAAGTGCCAGGGGGGATGGTGATCAGGACATGGCCTGATATCATAATGAACTCAATAGTTGCACTCATCAATGCATCTATATATTGATCCATCTACAATAGGTATGTTCTCGAATAACCACCTTCCTCATATCAATTAAATGTGGGCTTTAAAGAGCCTTACAATAATATTTCAAAGCTGTATGGGAATCGCGATGATGCACAATGAGCGACCGTAATAGGTATCCAGTTTCTGATCGGGGCTAAATAAATTACCCAAACCCCCCACCAATCCTTCCTGAAAATCTGCCTGTTTTATTTACATAGAATCAGTAAATGTGAGTTGGGTGCTTATAGGATAGCAAATGTATGTTTTTGATTAGCCATGGTGCCTTTTGGGATCATATATCAAATAAAATAAATAAAAAGATCAAGACAACAGTATGATATAAGACAATAATACAATAGAACAAAATATAATAGCACTTGACCGCCAAACACACTGCAGCAGATAGTCGGCAGATAAAAAAACAGTACTCGCAAGGTCAGAGTGATTTAGCTTATGATTACTGCACAGACAATGAGATAATCCAGTTTTAGCAGTTGTTGCAAGGAAAATGGTGAACTGCTTGTTCTACATGAACTCTTGGTGCTCACCGTCATCCAAGTCTGGGGCCTCTCTGGTACTGTGATTTCTCCAATCTGGTATTCAGTGGTTGGCAAATTGAGCTGCATGAAAAAATGCTGCAGGTCATACCTATATCGTAATGCAACTGTTTTAAAATCTGTGAGCCAACAGACGGAAGGGGTAGCCCCCAAGCTACTGAATTTGGGCCTTCCAAAGTGCTTCCAGTGGAGTCAGGCCTCTGTGCTGCATAAGTGTATGTCTTGACATATTGTAAAAAATGTTAGCACCATCAAAGTATGGCTTGTTACACATTTTCTACATTATATTCTTTCATTGTACTGTGTATTTATGCAGTTTACAAAAAAATGTCTGTGCAGTAGGTCTGAGGGCTGTGTACCCTGTTCAGTGGGGTGCAGGTCTAAAATGTGCCTGAAGATCCTCTATAGCATCAGGGTAATAACTCAAGGGCCAGTGGCTCTGTGGTTTTTGTTATCGTATAGCTGAATAAGAAGTGGGGAAAGTTGCTTGTCCTGAGTAACACACTTCTCCTCTAAGACCCCATTCACACTGAGCGACATGCAAATCACGCGACTTTGAGCGACATTGAGCGACGAGCGACATTGAGCGACGTCTTCCTATTGGGCTGTATGCAATCAGGAGCAATATCGCTCAAAATCGCTCTAAAAAAGGGTCATGTAGAAGCGACAAGCTACCAGCGACGAGCTACAAGCGATATTGAGCGACATTGAGCGACGAGATGTGAACAGCTACATTGAAATGTATTGGTGAAGCTACATAGAGCGATATAGTGCGGAAATATGAGCGATATCGCTACAAAAATCGCGCGATAAATCGCTCAATGTGAACGGGGCCTAAGAGTACAAGCAAAGTTAGCAATTCCTCATATTTTGTTTCACATGTCTCCATTCTATTGGCCAAATCATTTTATTCTAGCTTATGTTGACAATGCATGTTCCACTTTGCTGACAAAGAGTTCCAAGTCATACTTAGAGTGGAGAGACTAGAAGTGAGATCTAAGGTCTTCACCTTCCTCTATATCTCCAATTTCTGAGGCCAGAGTTCAGGTGTCAGCCAACTTGAGTGAGCCATGTAAGGCTGGGTACTCATACAGTACACCCTGATGTGTTTCTCTGTGTTATCCCTCCTGCCGATCCCCCGAAAAAAGGTGTCTGGCCCCCTTTTGGGGTTTTGGGGTGCGTGGAGGAGGTGGAGAGCTTCTGCACTTGTGTGGCATTGCAAGGGTCTTCTGGATCATTGAGCCTCTGTATGGAAGCAAATTCAGTTGGCTGGAGCAGGAGTCCAAGGGGTTGCACATCCTCGCTCCTGCATGTTCAAGACACTCCCCATTTGATGATTTATTTGATTAATTCTCTATTTTTGATTTGATTAATTCTCTCTATATAACTTTTCTCTATTGTGACTTGTGGATGGTTTTTTTTTCATTTTTTTTTTTTTTAGCCAAAAGATGTAGATGTTCTTAAAATGCTAGAAAAACATAGATGTCCCTGGAGTAAAATGTTTCATTCTTTTTGACAGGTCTCTGACCAGAATTGCATTGAACCAGGAGATGAAAAAAGAAATTGAGGAAAATCAGAAGGTTTGTTATTGTAATGGTGATCTTATTTATATGCATTTATAATATATCTCGATGTTTCACTACATTATAATCAGGGCATACATCTAGTATTTTGTGTGCAGGTGGCTAAATTATATCATTAGTGATGAACAATCAAGCATTAGTCATAAGTTATTTTTGTATACTCTTTCAATTATTTATTTAGTCATGACTTAGGAAAACTGCTGAAAACAAAAAAGGCCATGTGTACGTTTTGATTTGATGCTACGGTCAGGGTAGACTGTCCATTTAAGATCAAGACAATTCTGAGGTGCACAGCTGTTGGCTGTTCTGGTCTGTAACTTGAGTCCTGTAGTTGGCACACAAATTATGAATTACTTATCTGGCCTTGTGTTATACGCCTTTGCAAAAGTGTTGATGACTGCTTGAGACTGTGGTAATGCTTTATAATTTGTATTAAATTCATTTATGTTGATTTCTCTAATATGCCGTACCATCTTTATCAAAATACATAGGAAATCATATATTTTTAGTGTCCCCGTATACTCATTTGGTATTCTCACAACATAAAACTGGTTTAATCTAGCATTAGCAGAATGTCAATTATAATAAAAGCGTTTTTTATTTAGAAATACCTGCACATTTAATATACAGATTGAAAATGCAGTTCATACATACATTTAAATATGTTACATTAATAAATATAGTCCCAGTATGTCAAAGCTCCACGGAAAGCAAGCAAATGTGCTGAAGCTAAATAATGAAATGCTTAATTTACCTTTGAAATGTGTGTGACCAATGCATTGCTGTTTTATAAACTTTATCTTATTTCACAAAAGGGAGATCTAAGTATTGGCTTAGGTCCTAAAATACTGAGATTCCTTACACAGAGATTCTGAACATCAACATGGTTGATGTTTGAAAGTGGAAGATTTGTGATCTAAGCAATTTTCATGGTGGAATGATTGTCTGTGTTAGGCATGGTGGTTGCATAATCTCACAAGCTGCTTAGCTCTTGAAATTGAAGCTTTAAAGTCTCTTCTGTTGACACAGAATGATGCAAAAATAAAGTGTGAAAGCATCACTTCCATGGTCATGTAACCGTGAGATGAATGCCCAAACCTTTTCAAGTTGACAGGAAATCCACATCTGCTCGCTGTGATTCACTCATGTCACCTAAGGTGGAAATTGGGGTACTAAAGCTGGACAGCTGAAATATGGAATTTCTACTGCAATATGCTCATGGATCCCTACCGTCTTGTGTCAGCAAGTGAAACTGGTGGTGGTGTAAAGCTGGAAAGTTTTTTTTTTATTATTTATTTTTTTACTTGACACACATATTGGTTATTATTTCCAATTAAGCAACATATACGAGTAGCATGGCTAACCATGTGTACCTTTCCATGGATAATAGATGGATGTACCCAGTATGAAGGTCACTGAATGAATGTTTTCCAAAAATAATTGCTGTCTTTGCTCACCAAAGGAACTCGCTAAGAAATTGTGTCGAGGTACTTTATTCATTTTAAAAGAATATTAGGTCACTGAATGAATGTTTGCCAAAAATAATTGCTGTCTTTGCTCACCAAAGGAACTCTCTAAGAAATTGTGTCCAGGTACTTTATTAATTTTAAAAGAATATTATTTTTTTTTGCAAATTTCCGTTCACATGAGATATGTGTTTTAATTTGTGTACAACTGGTAGTTAAAACCCCAGATGCCTGTTTGACATTATATGCACATTCCATCTCTCTTAGAAGCACAAAGATTCAATATTACATGCATTTAACTTGGTGGAAATCTGAAAATGTGAAAGTAAGTGCAATGAGGAGATAATTAAAAGGATGTAAGCTGGACAGAAGCCCTTATGAGTTGTTTTGACATTTTTTTTTTTATATTCAGCTCCCCCAAGTGAATAGCACTAAAAGTTTCTAAGCCTGAGTATTTGCAGGCATTAAATTGGCATTGGCGAAGTAGTGCCTATAGAACATCCATCTAGCAGCAGGGGATGGTGGCTCCAGCTGTGCAGAACGGAATCATTCCCATTTGAGATAATGAAAGTCGAGCACCAAAGCGTAATGAAGGGAGAGAGATGACAAAGGTGTTAAAAGCTGAAAATATTATGATGATTGGGTTTAGTCAAAATAGCATCGCAGCTGCTAGGTAGCCTATGAAATCAGGGCATTGCTAGAAAGGTCATCTGAAAAAAATAGTTTGTTAAATTTTCTTTACAATGTATGTGTCACATTAGACTGTTTGCAAATGAAAGTTCCAAACGCTTTTTCTCTGGGTCTTAATGTGCTTTGTTTTGCATTATTAACTTTTTTTTTATCTTTGGAAATTCTCTGTTGGGATTTTACTTGTCATATTATTAATGGCAATCTGTTTTTGTGTGTAAATTAGCTTTTGCTGAATGTGCCAAATAGTTTTTTTTCACTTTCATTTAAACAGTTGGATGTAGTTGTGCTTTCCCACTTTTGTATTGGTTGGAATTATGTTGTAAGCTTTAGGCAGTCTTATGAGTGTTGTAACTATGTGTGCCATATTGGCTTATCTTTCTTTTGTGTCTCCCATTTACTTGCATGCAAGTGCTCTTTGCTAAATTACTTAGATAAGCTGTGTTTCTAAGGTTTTATTCTTTTTCTTCTGACAGCATCTAGCTGACACATATGGGATCCAGCCTGGAGATGCAAGTCTCTATATAAATGGCCTTCAGATTGACCTAGATGTTCATAATTCATTCAGGTAAAAATAGTTTTTTTTTCTCAATTGGTATTAGACAAACAAGAATTCAGGGCCTCTTTTGAGAGATGTGTTACATGGTAGAATTGTGAAGATTTTGTTCTTTCACATGCAATATAACACTTTTACCACACAGGGCATATTTAAGTGTGCAAACTAGAAATACTTGTTGCATTCAGATAGAGGCGGTGTGTATATATTAATCACTTAGATGTAGATCTTAAAACAATAACTCCCGGGTGCTTATGGAAATTACACTATAATGGACAGATACTTTGATGTGTTGTTGTTTGTAATCTTCATAAGATGCATAAGGTTATTGATGCAACATTGATGCTTTAGGAAACTTAGCTTCCTTTTTTATTTATTTTCTTAAAGTGTCCTAGATATTTTGAAAAATGAAGCAAAAGCTCTACATGGCCTGTCTGTTTTGGGAATAAAAAATGAGGATATCACCAAGTATTTACGCTTGCAAGTACATCCAGAAGAAGAAAGCTATGCCTTAGATATCCGTAATTCAGCTATTAATGTGAGTATTTCAAAATACATAATATATTTGAAACAATTTTGTAGTAACAATTTCTCAGTAACTTGTGTAGTACTGATGGTAAGATTAAAGAGAATATATGGTGTTTTTGTGTTTCTTTTTTGCTCCCATCTGTTTATCTCCTCTGTTGTAAAAGTCTCTTGTTAGAGACTGAATCCCTCAAGGTAAAATGTACACACATAAGTGAATGTGGCTAACCACTTAACTGAATGACTCTGTGCAAGGTTTCAGTTAGACAATGGGAGCCGTGACTTGACATTTTCATATGCCCAAGCAACAGTGTACTCCATAGTAACCTATCTATGGAATGGATAGAAAGACCTCTCCAGTGTCTAAACATGCTGTCAGTTAGCATTTGGAGAGGCTCAAAAACCTAGAAAACCTTATTATACAAATACTAACTTGAACTTTATTCAACATCACTGACTAAATGTGATACTCAGGAGACATGAGGCCCAGCACTGATTTCCTAGTTCAAGTGGGCATATTAGACCAGTTTTGGGGCTCCTGAATCAATCGATAACATTCTAATATGTTTTCCATTCTGGAAATAATTACAGGTTTAGGTCAGTGTTTACTACATCATTCCTCCATACAGAGTGAATGCATGGCATATGCATGCCAAACCCTCATTGTGGTTACATATTGTTTTCACACAAAGAAAATTATGTTATGTGTGAATAAGTATTATTATAGCCATGAAAATAAACACATTTGAGTGCAGAATTAAAGCAGAGCCTTTGGAAAATGGTTATTTCTGATCAACACAAACTAAGGCAAAATGAAAGTATTTTATATTTTTACTAAACACAAAGTACAATTTTCTCTGATCCTATGCAGGTATTCATTTACCTGGCTCCTCCGTATGGCTTCTGAGCAACACTGTAGCCCCTGACCACTGCTATAACATGCATCCTCCCTCTCCTTTGTGTAGTTAGAAGCTGCACTGGACTCGGGAAGTATGTTGTCTGAACTTCAGAACACACTGGCCTGCATTTGTTCCGGCTCAGATTCAAGAACATTCAATAGGTTGGAATAATGCCAGATAAGTGATTCTACCGATCAGTACAATCAACTTTAGAAAATAGATGCCAAAATGAAGAGTGATTTCGTAGGTGACAGAATGATTTAAAGTGGGGACTATGTAATTAGATGATCTTGCTTCTGTACCCTATAACTGTAAAGCTTGAGTGCAGTGAACCTTTAAAAGTAAATAGTTATTGCACAAAAGGTTTTGCAGTTTAATACCTAATAACTCTGACTGGGGAGAACTGATTATTTAAATGAATATGCAAGATTTGTATAGCCCCAACAGTTTGCAATATAAGGGAATACAGGTCATTTGCATTACAATCCAAGAAATGAGGGTTAGGAGAGCCCTGTTTGTGAGATCTATAGGTGACATGGAAGGAGTGATTAAATAAGTAGGCGGAGAACAAGGAAAGAGCAGGGGGTGACCAGTGCATGAGTTAGAGAAAAGGGGAAGATGCCAGTAGCGAGGGAGAGATTGAAGATGTGATGTTAGAGAGCCCAGACTAGAGCAACAGGGTGACTGGAGTAGTTGTGAGTGAAGGGGTTCAGGAGACAAGTGGTTAAGCGGGTGTCAGATAAAATTTCAGCAACTTCCTCTGCAGTAACAGGGTCAAAAGAGGAAAGTATTGAATGTGATTGTAGACATGGTATGTTAAGTAGGGGAGATCTAATCACGAATTGCATCTGTCTTGTTTTTTTAACTGATGTCCTGTGCAGCAAATGAGTTAGTGGGTGGAGGCAGCGGGGGACAAAGAAAGAAAAGTTGACAAGGACTGTGATTAAATATTTTCTTTTGCCGGCATGGTGGGAAGAATTATAAATCAGTTAGGGCAGATATATATAGGACAAAGTTTTGCAAGTATTTAGTTTTATGCCATACTCACTGAAGAGCACAGCTATATCTTTTAAGTCTTCTGGTGTCATCTGTTTGCCAGGATTGTAGTGGATACAGGCTTTTTGGGTAGTGAGGGGAGCAAGTGTGTTCAGGCAGGATTAGGAAGGAGTTGTTGTAGACAGAAGTGGCCACGGCAGGACAGGGTTGAGATTTTGTTACAGAAGTATTCAGTAGCAGAACAGAGAAGGGTTAAAGTAGCAATGGTTTCCACAGGTAACTGCTGTTTAACTAATAAAGTTGTGATCAGAAAGAGGAAAAGGAATGTTGGAGAGGCTGCATGGAGTGCAGAGTGGGGGGGGGGGAATACAAGGGCAAGGGTGTTGCCATCAGTGAGTCTAAAGGTGCCCATAACTGTAAGATTATCATACGATAATCGTATGCGATCGTTTTTTCGTACGATAATCGCGCAGTGTATGGGCAGTGTGCGACCGCCAATACTTTACAATCGTTCGACTACCCGGCATGTTCGAAAGCCTGTGCGTAATCATACGATAATCGTTCAATGGGTGGAGTAATCGTTCGTCAACAATCGCACCATTCGTTCAGCGCATGCGTTAAACGAACGGACAAGCGGAAGTAGAATGGCGGCTGCTGGCACTACTCGCAGCATCCACACCTCTGTTTTGGTACCCTCATGGACCACTCGCTCAGCCATTGCTGGGGCTACATGTTGAGTACAGATGCACACCATAATCCATATGTCCTCATGTAGCTGACACATGTGGACCAGTCCCCATGTGGACCACACATGAGGATGCTAAAAGTAACCCCGTAATAATTGCCATTAACTCCATCCAACGCAAAACATGCAACATGAACAACATGCCCATTCTCCTTTGGGACACAGTTGGATAAACGTCAAATTGTCAAGTACGCCCTACACATGTGTATGCTGTGTCCCTGGCCATTGCACAGCTGCGACATGCATCAGGGAAAGCACGCTTTCCCACAAAGAAACATCCCTGACAAACGCATGCACAGCATCAGCCAAGCAGGAAGACTGTAAAGCGGTCATGCCTGAAATGAGGACACTGACACAAGGCATACATTAATAAAATATTTATATAGTAAAACCACTAAATAGAAATCCAAGCCAGGGTTTGGAGGGCTTGTAAACAGGGGCAGGGCAGTGCAAATGCCAACGTGGCAAATCTGTCAAAACGGGGAGCTGATGTGTCCTACAGCTTCATCACTTCGTCACGCTCATCCTGGAGAGCCCGCCTCAACTCCACCATGTGCTCCATAATATCTTCCAGGATGGCACAACAGCGGCTAACAGCAGCGCAAACTCCACCCAGTTGTACGGAGCTGCAACATGAACTGTAATGTAATCATCAAATACAACACGCAATTACAATGTGTTACCAAAATCACTGGGTATGTCATTTGTCAAAAACAGGACATACCAGATGGGAAAGTGGAGGATGGTCCTGCAACGCTCTCACTCCCCTCTGATACAGCTTCCTCAAGTATCACTATCATGGAAAAAAGGCAATGGAAAGCTTAACATGCAGCGTATAATCATCTCATATGTTATTTAACATGTATTAAAGTCCACATACCAGAACATGAGCTCTCTGACAATGGACTCTTCTCCTCGCTGTCAACAAGGTCCACATTAACTGTAATGGAATCAACACATGGAGGTCATAAACATGTGAAGTAATCAGACCATGCCCTAATGTTGTAATACAACAGGACATACCAGAAGAAGAGGACAAAGAGGAGTCCACAACCTCGACCACCACGTCAGCCTCCTCCACAACAGCTTGCTCCATGGCCACCTCAGAAGCACCCTCGCTGCCCTGCCTCCTCCGCTCCACACTCCTCTGTCCTTTTAACATCAAAAAAATACAATTGTCATATGAGGCATCCACAACATGGCATGTACATATATGTGTCTCTTAGGTCTGGACATGATGCATAGAATGACACCTTGTCTTCTCTAGCTTTTCATGGACAGACATGGAAGTTGGAGGAAGCAAATACATCAAATATATCAAACTTCATTACATCACTGCATGCTCCACTACTCCTCTGAAACTAGGCCTGGATGGCCACATCCAACATATCTCCCATCATATGTGTAGATGCAATAATAATAAAGCTCACACTTACCCCTACGGATCAACCTGTGGATACTTGCAAGCTGGGCAGTCTCCCTCAACATCAGGTCACACCAGCGTTTGCGCAACTGGTCTTTGGACCTGGTCACATTGAACTTGGCCTGCAAGCTCTGAACCACTTCATCCAGGATCCGGTCCTTCCTGATGTTCCTCTGCTCATATGTCCTTAGCTTGCAGTCATAATCCTGCTGCTCCATTATGTCCACCAACTCCACCATTTCCTGTAAGGACATACAGGATGCCCTCTTGGGCCTGCTATCCTTCCCCTTTGCAGCACTGGTCTTTGTCTGTGACCTTGATTGTCCCTCCATTTTGTCAGTGTGGGCCAGTGGTACCGTACGAAGCGGTAATCGTACACACCTGTATGAAAGAGCGTGGCCAACGGGTCTCCGCAAGTACGATCGGGCCTTCATATTTTCGGCATCGAGGGAAGCCATACCTTTCCGAACAAACGGTCGCTTGTTGGCTGGTATGTAGTATTCCATAACAAATCGTGGGCAATGCATGACAGGAGGGTATGTGTAGCAGACCATAGCACATTAAGTGACTCTATGGCATTAGACAATATAACTAGAACTGGAGGTGACATGTTTCATATCTGGGGCACAGATCAACACTATTCCCATTGCCATTGCCTACCATGTGCTTCACATACATTTGCCCCAAGCTATGTTTTTGGAAAGGAGCAGGATGTGGCTGACAAATGGGCCTACTGCAGTGTGTCACACATGGCCAACATTGGAATGAGCACCATGTTCATAACATTAGCATGACGGACAGGGCCTGGATGAGGCAGGTGTATGTTATGTTTTTACAATGTGCCTGGCACATGTGTGTTTTTTTTCTCATACTGCACCATATGTATATGTTTCACTATTGATTATATGTCACTGCCCATTACCACATGTCCAAGGTGGATATAAACCATT